TAATGATAATCTTGCAGAATAACTGCACTTTTGTATTCCGCGAGAAATTATGTTGTCTGTTGATCATTTCCCAGCGCCATGCACACAGGCATAGGTAACATCTGCACGACAAGATTATTGCATGATCAACAACAGCAACTCATGCTGTTAGCATATTACAAATAACATCTCGATTCACGATGCCATTTTGCACTTATGTCATTGACTATCATAAGATTTCCTGACCATTATTCATACCCATAAAACTAGAACTAATGAGGTTACGTACAAACGTGTAGCTTGAGTGCCTTTAATACTAAATGCGCTATAACCGATTACAATTTCCCATTCCGCACCACAATTCTATATAAATTCCTACAATATTACACTGCCCCCAGGTCAGCCATGGAACTAATTCGCTATCATTTATATCACCTAATTGATAGCACGCCCACCTAAGCGCAGAACTATCGATAACGGGACGTCAGCTCAGCTCTCATAAAAAGATAGATGAAGTGTTACCTGAGGTCAGAAACTGTCGTAACTTTCACGAGAGGGTACGACATCGGCAGACATACATACTGACCTACTGAAAGCTGCTCCATCGACACATTTCAACCGTGATCGAGTGGCAAGGTATACTGGACATTTGAGGTGACGTGAGGCGCATCCAAAAGCAGTCGTCGTCGGCCAAACGTGAAGAGAGAAGAGACTGTCACGGCCGATCTGAGGGTGGTATTCCACATGGCTGCTGCCGAGTCGCTGTTTCGGTAGGTGTATCGGGGGTTAGATCGACCAGAAACAATTCGAAAGACCGACCAGGACAAGGACTACATACGAATGTGATCCTGGGGCGTTTTGAGACAACCTAGACGTAAACGCGAGCGGCATATGTGGAGAGGAAATCCGTAGAGGATGACCTTGGATTTAGGCAAGACCTTGGATTTAGGCTGTTGCTTTTACGATTTGCAAATACATACATAATGCCCCTTTGTGTTCGGTATACACAGGAGAATCATAACACTTTCCCTACAGTCTGTTAATCGATGCTTTAGTGTTTTACATGCTGGGATCTTAGAAAGCATGGTTTTATTGCATTTGCAATAACACAGTTGCATGCAAATGATGGTGTGCTAAATGTAAAATGAGAGTACGGTCCGGAGCATTTAATTGCATCTAGTATCCCTGAGCCAGCGTTAAAACTGGAGCGGAGAACAATGTCGTTTTTCTTTTGTAGTGGCGAGCGGCGGCGGACCGTGCGTGTCACTGTTGTGGACGACATTTCACCACCACCGGTGAGAGGTGACGCGGAGGGAATGGGAGCTGTTACGTCACCGGGACGGGTCGACCAGGCTCCGGTCCTGTATCACCTGCCGAGCTCGATCGGGGCTCGGGAGGGACCCGCCCCACCGCCCGACCCGGCGGCCTCCCCTCCCCACACGCCCACCCACCCACCTCCCACCGTACTGCCCCTCCCGCCCGCCGTCCTTCGCCCGCCCCGCCCGCTTTGCCCGTCTCGCGGCCGGCGAGCCTAAAACGGAATCGGATGTCTCAAATGAGATGAAGCGCACCTGGGGGTGGGTCTCGTTTCCCGCCCTCGCTGAGCGACACTATTTGCCAAATCACGGCCGACAAAACCTAGCGAAAACAACGTCCGTCCGCGTGTTATCATAATCATCGAAACACCATTAACTATGAGGCGCTTCTGTTAATACATGAGTGATGGTGCCAAATCGATTTGGAGGTGATCTTTCTTCTGAGAAACTAGTTCATGACTGTGCGCCTGTGGAGACCGACGGGGGCGCCCCACGGGGCCGTCAGTTTCTGTTGACGTCAGACGCGCACGGGCCGACTTTCACGGTATTCCTGTGCGTACCGTGATCGCTCACGGTGTCCTGAAATGTTTTGGGAGTTGAGTCTTGCCTGATATTCTTTGGAACCTGCCCATGGTGTTTTACTACGTGCCTTGAGCGGTCACGCTGACAATTTTATGTGATCAGTCAGTCACTGTGTCCTGACTTGAGACTGCGGACAACTATTATTGGACAGTGTCATAGACCTCTGTATACAGAGGTCTATGACAGTGTGTTTGAGATTTTCACTGCAATTGGACAATAAGATAAGTGCCCAGGCAAATGATTTGCCGAGTTTTATAAAATGTTCTAAAAACCCAACAGAAAATCCCGTAGGGTGTTGAAACCGAAATAGTCTCGAGTCATGTTCAACATATCGTTAGGCGGCACGGGCGGACATCGATAGCAGCGCCTCTATCGGTCACTCGGAAAAGCTGGGCTGTAGGCGACGAAATACCGGCTGAGTTGTCACACGTTGAATAGGTTTATAGCCATCCGTCTTGTGAAAAAGTTGAACTTTTGCCTTTAATAGGTATTTCTACAGGCAATTTTAGAAGTGTCTTCACATGGATTACAAAACCGTTTAGATTATTGTATTCACTTCAAGCCTTTCCTATTGTTCTTGATGATGCGGGAACTATTTATAATTAGTGTTTCTAGCTTAGTAAAAGAACATACTGTGCAAACGATGAAAAAAAGCATAAATGGAAGATTTTAAATGCAATTTTCTCTAACAATTAATGGTAAATTCTGTACATATCAAAGAAAAGGTGCATGCTGGCTGATAATTTAAAGTTCTTGGGGCCAGTTGTTTTCTTCTTTTCTTACGTCGCCCCAATGGCCGCGAATACACTTGTGATAACGCCTATCGTAATGTATTCAGTAGCAATGTTACACTATAAGAGTGCTGACCCATTTCATGTAATTCATCACCCTAATTGCCTCGCTGTGCGAGATGAATCTTTTAATTATGCAAATACGCACCTTCCGCAAAAAAAAAATCGACGAAGTAATCAACATCATGGGAACTCCATGGGACCTGTACGCGCGAGGTAACCAATGTTCCCGTGCACAGAGGGCTTATGCTGGCTGGTTGAGAGCCATTTCAGCGGCGGAGTGGAGCCAAACCGGTCTTCTGACATCCGGTCCTTCGAGCCAAGTGTGCTGGGTGGTAGATGGGGGCCGTAAAGAGCCTTTCACCCTTTCAGAGGAAGGTTGTACATACCACTTGTGCCACAGACGTGATGTTCAGATCTGGCAACTCTTTTTCCCAGGGAAAGGAATTGTAATACGATTACATTTTTAAGACAGGAATAATAACGATGTTAGTTTTGACAAAGACCAAAGGTAAGCACGCTCTGATGAGATGTTGCACATTTATTCTGACCGTAGCAAGGAACATTGGTTGAACAATATGCAATGTGATTGTGCCTGTCCAGTCTAACAATAGGTATGCAGATGCATTCAAACGAATAACAAGTGAGGACGGACATTTCATTCTATAAAACAAGGGAGCTTAAAAATACATGCAGCAGAGTTTGGTGTTACTATAAATGTCATACGCTACTCCCTAATGTTCCTGTTGCAACGCAATCGCCTCCATAATGCCACTAAATTCCTCCCTCGCAGCCCTATCAGCGCGGCGCCAAACTGTCGATTCCAGCGCGGAAACCGAACGTCGACCTGCAGTGCACTCTCACTTTCTGCACTTTACATACGGATATTACGCAACTCTGTGCATCGCGCGGGGTGGGGAGATGCCACCCCATCGCACCCCACTGCCGGAGACTGCGGGCCAGGTCAAGGGGCGTGGGAGGGGTGCCGTATTGCCTCATTGAGACACTGAGACACCGGGGGGAGTCATCGGCGGCAGGTGTCTCAAACCTGACCCGTCCATACCATTGAGTTGGCGAGGTCGTCCGGAGCGTGGTATTACAACCAGGAAGTGAGAATATTCAGCAGGAAGCGGCGCACAGGTGATGTAGATTGGAGTGAGAAGCCTGGAGTGCGGCTGCGTTTACCATCCGGGGCATGTAGTGTAATTATATAGTGTGATGAGGCAGTTAGCAGCGGTGCTTTCACTTTCATCGCACCGCGTTATACTATGACTAATGCACTGACAAAGATGTGGTAGGTAATCGCTGGCAGAAAGCTGAGGAGAGCTATTTATCATGGGGAGTACGTGCTGATAATACATCCACATTCAACACCTTTGCGATGAATGCTAAGACATGGACTTATTCAGCAATAAATTACGGGATATATGATGAATGAAACCTCAGTATTTACGTCTTCTTACATATATCTCCAACGACAGGACACGTTGAATAAGTATTTCAGATCAACTGCAAAAATTCAAATGCCAGAAACGTTACAAAAAAATGCACGTATAGCTATGCGTTGAAGAGCAACGTGTGTTGTTGGAAGCATGTCCTGTATGACTGGTTTTTACTTATGAAGTTTGCATTTGATTGAAATCATAAGCACATGCAAATGACACGGCAGCGAATGTTTCATTGCATAAATTTCAACCTAAATTGTATGTAGGTACATACAATACGTTCTAGATAAGCATCTGTGGTATGTATATATTATCAAACTTCTTCGATGGTCAAACCATGAATTATCTAGTTGTATGTCCATTCAGCTGAGGACTCATAGATTTATCACTGATCAATGGAATGCTCTAAAAAAATCGTTCTTAAGCACCATCCTTGGCTTGTCTTTAAACTGATGAACATTCTAATACTGTGCTACAAATGCGATATTTTAGGCAATGACGGTTTCAGAAATCATAAGAAATCCTTCATCCAGCATTTAAGCACGCCTTGTTACATAATACCCATGAGTTATAGGCTTACATAATATACACATGCACATACATTTCATACTTGATTCAATGAACAAGCATAATTTGGAAAGTACTTGTCAAAATAACCATGCAAATTAATTTTCTTAATTTGTTTGAAATCACGGTCCAAACATAAAAAAACACGTTAAAATTGGTGGCGAGCAACCGCAACGCTAAGACTCCTAAATCGCCATAAAAAGGTCGGATCAGTCGGATCCAAGCAGCCTCCGGTCAACTTTCCTCGTAAAAACCGACCCGTAAAGTTAGTCACGGCTCATATCCCCTCCACCTCTCCGTTCGGGGAGAGAGCACCTCACCTGTGGCCGCTCCTCTCCTCCCTCTCTCCTCTGTCCTGTATCCGTCGCGTCGGTCTGCCGTTCTCTCCGCTCGTGTGGTCGACGTCCCACCCCTCACACCGCCCGACCGGCACTGGCGCAGACGAGAGCAGGGCATCCGCCGTCGCTCCCGGACCCGGTCCCAGTCGCGGCGGCCGCTCGCAGCTGCGACCCAGGCCGCCGCGCCGCGCAGAGCGGGCACTGCTGGCCCGCAGGTGTTGCGTAAAGCCCGGCGTGTGCCGACCACCCCATATTGGTCTGCACATTTGTGTGGACGCGACATACCAGTCTGCAGGGACAGTGCGTATATGGGGGTGGTAAGGCACATCAGAGACGGATATCACCAAGTGCTGAGGTCCGGTTTGCGTTATGTAACGATTCGTATACAACGTATATATATCATGTTGAAAAAATATGGCATGATGTAATGCTAGACTTCGGCACTTTCATCTAATATTGTTTCAAAAAAGAGGTATGCGGGTCTGTTTTTTAAGCCTGTCCCGCTCTGCTCCCGTGACATATAGCCATATGGTTTCCCACAGGTCACATCCAAGACTTTTCACAAAAGGCTACAAGACCGGCTACTGCGTGACAGCAGCGCCAACAACAATAGTACGAAAAACATCTAAAAATAGCGCCAGTTGCACAAGTCAACGCTGTTCATGGTTCATGACTGATGTGGGCATGCAACGTCAGTACCTACTCGTATTCAAGCAAACCTTTGGCTGGAGTGTTTGTCTTTGGAACAATTAGTGTAATTAATTTGCTCATGAGCTTCTGAGCTAAAATTACAATTCTCTGTTCTCCACTAGATTTCCTAATGTATTTCGTGTCACCTATTCAGTCCACATTGTAAAGGAAAAAGCCATTTGACTTGGAAGGATAAATGTTGCACAATTTGAGATTCCTGCAATCAATTTATTTTGATTGCAGGAAATTCCATGTGATGTGTCGCCTAGCATTTGTGCTGCATTTCTTTGTAATCACTAAGCAATTATCAATTGTTATTAGCAGAGCTTTAGGTCACAGAACGTCTGTAATGTATCTGATACATTTAAACACGCAGCATTTAGCAAACATCGTACAAGTTTGTTTTCTTTTACAAATTTGGTCTCCCCCGCAGCCTTGACTTGCCTTGCCGGAGTGGGCCAGAAAACAAGTAGGGCAATAAAGCACGGCAGTGTGCAGGTATGTCTCTGTCTCATTTATGCAGGTATGCCGTTGGATAAACGGGGTCCGGGGCGGGGCCACACCCACGTCAGACCAGGTGGAGTTGTTTGTGGAGGGCCTGCTCTGTTGTGCTGCAGTTGGGTAGGTAGATACACTATCTACGAGACTCGGGCTTAAATCTGGATGAACAGGATCGGCTGGCGAATAAACGACACCAAAACACTCATTTGCCCTTCGAATAATAAGCATTAGGCTAGCGTTTATGTACAGTATTACTATTCATATTAGTAAATCATTATTTTATGACAGAGGGATACATTGTTAAAAAGCCAACGTGTCACCAGACACCAATAATCGATTCCGTTTTAACTTTATTTTAGTGCAGTCCAAATATTGCAAGGTGTACAAGGAAAGATCGGTGAGCAAAAGGAGTATCAATTGGTGGAAGTGGTTCAAGGTTCATTGGATCTCACGCTCAGCGATGTGCAAAATAATTAATTGAATAGTCCAACATTCTCAGTGCACCCAGACCCAGCTCAGTACTGCTGTGCCCTGATATTTGAATGCAAATATCCTCAAACAGGAAGACTCGCTCCTCATCCCGCTCTCCCTTTCTGCACGGCCGATGATATCACATGCTTCCCACTCTTCCTCTCGATACAAACCTCGATCGGCGGCGCCCCGGCAGAGGCGGCTCGAGGTCACGAGGAGCGGCCCATGACGACCCCGGCGGAGGCTGTGCCGCCCCTGAGAACCGTGTCAGATCAGTCGTGTCGGTACCGACCCGGTGCACGAACCGCAGCCCACACGCGGCATCGGCGGCACGCGAGCGCCACAACGTCTTCATTTGTATGACACTGACACAGTCAGAGGTGGTGCCGGAGATATACGGGATCCCATTCTAATTAGGGTTAAGTGAACGAAATGTTTGGAGAAGTCAGGCGATTGAATAGTGGGAAGAAAAGAAGCTGTTCACCTGCAACCTATAGATTGGGAGACATAGCAATCAGAAGAGATGAATTGAATCGGATTTATTTGTATTTACAGAGCGTGCAATGGTATCATCAATTCATTTTATCTTCTATATGTATAGTTGAGGATGCGTGTATATATATATTATGGCGATTAATATCAAGTATGTATGGAGGTTCGTAACGATATAAAAGTGTTCATTATTTTATAAGAGGAAAAACAAGAGAATGTCAAACGGTTTTCGGCTTACGCCATTTTTAACGAGGCATATCCCTCTTGATATGTATGACTATATCTTATGCCTGTTACGGGTCATATGCTAACTTGGGCAGTATGCAAACTGCCCGGGCAGTATGCAAACTACCCAACAGCCCGGGCAGTATGCACACCGCCCGGGTAGTATGCATACTACCCGACCCCTTGGGCAGTATGCATACCGCCCAAAAGCTTGGGCAGTTTGCATACTGCCCGCCTCTCGTCTTGAAGTTGTGTATTTCATGTCCATTTTAAAAATAAAAATGGATCTCTGAGTAAAATAGCTTAATTACGAAGTCTGTTTTGCCGTCAAGCGTGTTTTATCGATTGCAGGATGGAATAAGAATTAGAATATACAGACTGAAATTTTTTCCCAGAATTTCATTGTTTATTAGCCAGCGACCAACAAGTCATTTTCATAAATGACGACTGATCTATAGTATCATCACTCGATGGCTTTGGTTTGGCATCTGGACCTGTAGAGGGCGTAAGTACAGTTTCAATTATAGCTAATGCTGCATGAAACCATTTGCATGCAAGGCGTAACAAGTTCTTATGGTCAGGTAACTGCAGGACAGATTAAGTGACCTTACCTCAGAAAAGGTTAGAACTTGTTCGCCATAGCTACCCCGACTGAACGATCGCTTTGAAACTTTCAGCGATCAATAGCAGTAAAAGCATGTATAAAATACATGCATTGGAACTTTGATGTCCAACCGATGACCTAAGGTCAGGCCAATTTTGCAGTCTCTTAGAAGTTGACAGGAGAAAGTTGAAAGACGCCTTTTTGGATAAAAGTCCTTCTAAACGCTCTCAAATATCGGGTTCCATGCAGGGTTGTATACGACTCAATCAATAGCAATCAATTCAATCAGGACAAATTTGGGAAACCAATCAAATCAATCAAGTCAGAGCAGTTTTCGGGAATTGATTCAATCGACTCAAACGCGACAATGAAAGGAATCAATCAACTCAATCAAACGACTCAAACCAAGACATACATTAGGTTTTTTGCCCCACCAACTTGGAAAAGCGTCCATAGCAGTCTGGTGTACCTACCTACCTACCTACCTACAGAAGAAACATAAAATATTGTCATTTAAAATTATAAATTGCCATGCCATTCAAAGATTCTATGTAATAAGGAAGGATACCTAGTGATGGACAGGCGGATCATGATATTGAGGTTCAATGGGTAGAATTGGAGCAGAAGTTTCATTTGATGGGTGCAAAATAACCCAGTAGTTGACTCGCCCCTTAACCCAAATCACCACCTTTCACCTAAAAGTTGTCAATTTAATTTTGGCCATATTCCAGCTGAGTCATCAGGCCATCTACCCCATGTAAAGCCCCTGTCTGTCTCTTATGTGAGTTATGCGGAGCTCTTCTGAAATGAACCCTAAACATAATGAACCTAGCTAGGTTTCATGCCACACTGACACCATACGAAAGTGTTGAAAATGTGCTACAAATTTGACAACTTCATTAGGTATGCTTTATGAAGACAGCAGGAAAGCAGGTAGGTACCTACGTACCTGCCTAGATGTGTCACTGGCTACCAACAGTACTAACGAAGGTAGATAGGTTATATGTGAAGAATTCAAAACATTTTATTGCAATACAATTTGAAACTGTTAGGACTGGGGGATAGGGATGAGGATTAAAAATATATTTAAAAGGAAATGGAGAGGACAAGGACTCTGGAACCACAGGATAAGTTAAGGAGAAAGGAAGAAGGAACAAGGAAAATTAAGCGAAAAAGGCACGGTGCGACTGCGAAAAAACAAAGAAAACGTTTTGCCAACAAGTATGCTAAGCTTTTATAAATGCTTATTCTACGTCTTTTGATTTTTTGGTAAGATGACGTCATTGATAATCATGAAGTATGGTAGATTATCATAAAATAAATCGGTTGTACAACACCAATTTCGTTTTAATTATTATTTCATTTGAAATAAAACCACTTTATAATATTCGGTAAAATATTTTAAGGAAAATGAAATATATTAAATATGTTATGCTTAGGCTCTCAGGAGAAAAGGATCAACAGACGTTCTGCTGCAAATTAAACAATGCAGCAAATTTAGCGAGACGAAAACGGCGCTTTTGTTTCAGTTATTTTTGTAGGGGTTTCAGATAGAGTTCAGTGGGTTGTTTCTGAGGAGATGTGGAGATGTGAATTATTAATTAATCACACTTTATTAGTATATAGGGCCTTGCACTTTATCATCTCGATAAAGAAAAACGTTTCCTGCTGAGTGCAGAAAGGTAGGTAGGTGCATCGCCAGGTTCTATCACCAGGATTGGAGCAGTTATTGCAGTTGAAAGTCAAAGTTGGCTGTTCATGTTTAGACCCTGTTCTTTATTTGGCCATCTACCCCATAATGCAGTTGTGATGACAAGCAGTTTTCAATGTAGTTTTGTGATCTTTGATGTCATCAATTGGTGTCATTATTTTTCGTCAACTAAAACTTATTTGAACTTTCCGTTCAATCGACTCAATGATACGAGTCACTCTAATTTTCGGGAATCAAATCAGTCAACCAGTCGCTAAAGTCAAACGAGTCAGTCAACCAGTCATCTCGAAAAGTCAATCGACTCAATCCAATCAACTCAAAATACGCGTTGAATCAAATCAATCAATTCAATCGACTTGATTGGTATACAACCCTGGTTCCATGTAAACACAACACACTGAATCGGCAAATTGCTTTTGTAGTGACCCCTCTTTATGACCATGAGGCCATGTCAGGTCATAACAGATCTGCAGTAGTTTTTTACGATTACCTACTTTTTATGGAGACGTATTCGAGCAATGGAAATAACCTTAGATGTGTTTAAGTCGACGATAAGGATCGTCTG